AGAGCCACAGGATCTGCCTACTCTTGATGCGATTGTTGGAGCGTTGAGCGGCTTCGGTGAGACGATTAATTTTATCGATAATTGCAACAGTCTTGATGCACTTCCGAATGGCTGCATTGAACCTGGCTTCAAGGATGTGGTATTTACATTCCCCATCCAGCTCATCGAAGGTCTTTGCCTTCTCGACTTCAGTTAGCCAATTAATGACGTAAAGTCCATCATAGCTGTAGGCATTGCTAACAGCTTCCTTCATATTGGCTATCCATACCCTCAGCCCAGCCGCGTCGGGCTCTGGCGGGAGGTCTATGGGAATGCACTTAGTCGCAGCTGTACAGTTCGGATCATGATGGCTACTGTATCCGCCGCCACCAGTTCCGAAAAGATGCTGTGGAACCTGAGAACTACCGATTGACAGTGCACATACAGGGCAAAGGCGAGTAGCCTTTGGAATGCAAATCTCACATGCCCTTTTCATGCATATCTTACATTCCCCAATTTTGCTGGGGTCAGGAATATCCCGATCACACATCCGACAGTTCTTGTCAGGAGGATCGGGGCCACGCATGGTCGGCGGCTCAAGGCCTGAAGGATCCTTTGGCCTCGTACCGTTGGGATCAAATCCTGGATAATATCCGGTTTCACCTTTATCCAGGGGCACGGATTGCGTAGCCTTCGGAGGACTCTGAAGGTCAGCCGCGTTGGGTTGACTCCCAGTTGGGGTGTCACGGAACCTGTCAACTGGTGGCCGCAGAGGCGGCGAGAATGACCGCGTCGGGTTCGTTTCAGGTATGCCTCCAGGCGACCTATTCCTGACACGGTTTCCATCGGGATCCCTTCTTCTCCTAGTCTCGTCCCTAAGGCACGCAAGACAACAGGGACCCTGGACAAATCCAAATCTCCTGTAGTCATCCTGCCCAGCAGAATGTCTGGTGCAGTAGTAGGTCTTACAAAATTGACACTCAATTCCCTTGGTCAGGAACGAGCTCTCTCTACAGACTCCGCATCGGGGTCCGTTACGGGAACATTCTTCACACAGGTTCTCTTTAAATGAGAAACAATACTCACAAATATCACCTTTGCATCCCTTGCAGTGAAACTCAGCCACGAGATGATTATACCCATCACCTACATATTTACATCTGGGTTTACCAGGGTTGCCAGGGTTCCCACCGGCTGCACTCTTCTTCCCCCCTCCTCCTGGGCTTTGCCAATCTGGAGGAGGAGGTGGTGGAGGATCACCATCAGGAGGGCCAGGCGGAGGTGGCCGCTTATCCGGAGTACGGGACGCGGCTCGCCTTCCTCCTGCGTGATCGTTCAATCTACTACTTGAGGCCTGGTTCGAGTGCCTTGACTCGAGGGAATTGATTCTCTGGGCCGTATTACCCAGCACCTCGAGCATTTGCTCGAGCTTACTGTTGAGCGTAGTCGAAACGGCCATGTTATGAGTATTCTGCTTGTCCGTGTAGGACTTGCAGTCCCTTGATTTCATCTCAAGGTTGGCTTGTGTCTCATAAAGTTGGTCTTTGACCCACTTTATGCCGTCCCTATTATTGGTCCAGCATTGTTCGACATCTTGTATCATTCTATCAATCTGACATACCCTAGTGGACAGGTCCTCGATTTTGAGGTTTACTCCACCAATCGCAGGATGATTGGATTGGCTTTCCGCTAGAGATCTCTCGATCATATCAACACGAGCTATAAGCCCGGTTACTCGATCAGAAAGAGATTCAAAAACAGTTTGAACTTGGGTGATGGAGCGAGCAACATCATCATAGCTGGCTCGCTCATTTAGGGCATCTCCTATGCTTATCATGCGATTGGAAACGATCTTGACGCGTTGGCCAAGCTCGGTCACGATGTCCTTAGTCCCTTGCGACAGCTGCATGGCCGCGTTCGCAGCCTGTGTACACGTGCTATTCACATGGACGCATTGGTCGTATTTGGCCCTCCACGAGTTAACCTCAGTGGAGAGCTGTTTGATGCATTGATCACTTCTATCATTCCTATTCGACCTTAGCGACCAGGCGATGAATAATCGCACTTACCGAAGAGTCCACTCTCCCTCTTTCAAGGGCTGTTACAAGGTCAGCAACCTCGTTGGGTTGCTCCTCACTCGTAGGACCAAATCCTGATCCGCCATCTCGAGGAGTGGACAAATCAACCATGATTGGATTAGACCTTGGAGGAGTTCTGAAATCATCCTGCACGGCCGTTGATGGCCGTGGAAGCTCACTCCGATTAGGAGATTGACTCTGATACGGAGCAGATCTCCTAGCATCACGAACCGCAGAGGGTTGTGTCATGCCCAGGCCTTTGGCCACGGGCAGTTTAGGAACAACAGGCCTATCCATTCGCATAGGAACATCAGGTCTCGAGTCAGCAATAACAATGTCATTCAAGTCGGTCGCATTGGGCACTCTAGACTCAGACATCGATTCAATATCAGTCGCATTACTGATGGTATGATTGCGACTAGAACTTGATGCCATCATGGATTCAGATTCTATCGGAACATTAGCTCCGTCCATGTCGTCTAGGGCGAAAATGGAAGCCGCGTTGGGCGTAGGGCGAACACCTTGTGCGTTCATGCCACTTGACCTATTAAATTCCTCCTGGAATGCTTCGATTCCATCAAGCACGTTAACGAGTGTGTCCGCGTTTAGCGGGTCTCTACCAATGATTGACGCTGGATCACCTGATCGACCGCGTCCTGAGTCCCGCGCACTGGGGTTACCCCTGTGGGCAGTTTCCCGATCCATCCCCCTTGCCCTATGCGATCCAGTCGAATTTGACCTTGATCGTTTGCTTGGGGTTGGACTGGGATGCAAATCCAATCTATCTACGATATTACGCTCCCTAGGGCTCTCAAATCCTGAAAGTCCTGGGGGAGGGGACATGTTCCTCATGGTCGGGTTTACCGACGGCCTTGGCCTGACGTTACGGCTGGCCACGTCAGGATTGAGATTCTCAATCGACAAAGGTAGCATGAATTCATCGCTTCCAGCAGCCCGTTTTGGGCTTTGGAATTGCGGGAAAGATGACGGGGCGGGTGGCCCTGGCATCCATGCGGCAAAATCCATACCAAAAATGTTTCCGTCGTTGGGCCATGAGGCTCTCCAATCGAGCCCACCGGATTCGGTCGGCAGATGAACGTCAAATGCAACTCCACTGGATGTACCAGGTTCGGGATTACCGAGCGCTTGAAAAGCTATGCTACTGGTTGGCACAGGTCTACTGCTACTTCGAGAGTCACGAAACTCGGACTGACCAATATTCATCAGCTCCGGGAAAGATGAGGATTGAGCTCCAGGTGCAATACCGGGCTCGTCATCATCACGTCCTGAGACGGAATCATCATGGTCAGGACGATTAGCCCCATGACCCTGAGAGCGATTAGCTCTTGAGGCATTAGACGATAGATCATCAGTGCGAGTAGCACTGGATCTCCCTGAAGGCATTGCTTCTGAAAAAGTGTGGTCCGACAAAAAGTCAGGACCGGAAAACATCGGCTGTCCGGGCACCTGGCCGTCATTCACAACGTCCAAGATTCCGGCCTGGCCGAGAACCCACTCATCGGTCACCACATGAGGTCCATCCTCGGTGATTCCCGCCATGATCCTACAGTAGCCTATGGAAAACGGCGCCTGCAGGGTTGTTATTAAATGGGGTTCGCGGTGCCAACCGAGGACGAATCCTACGGCTGATAACCTGCGAAAGGGTTTGAAACAGTATTTCGGGAGAGAATAAACAGGCCCTAACCCACCAACAAGAAGAGACAGTTTAAGCCCCCCAGTCCCAAGGGCAAAGTGGTGCCCTCGGCTGGCAAAGAACCACACAGATAACAAACGGGGAATCCTGTTTAACCGCAAAACCCAAACAGGAAAGGGGACCAGCGCAGCCAACCAGGCAAGCGCAGCAAGCAAGCGAGCAAAGCAATTAACCAAGCGAAAGCGGAGCAGCAGCGACGAAGCAATTCCCAACCCAAACCTGACCCACACCCAAGAGCACCCGACCGCCGTGGTCTGGGGCGTGAGCACCTCCGCCCACGCACCAGCACGGCGCCGCCGAAGGCGCTTTTGACGGTTATGGCAAGTCGAGTCGCCGGAATTAAAGGCTTGAGCCAAAAGCCGCGTTGGGCTTTGGCATGAAACATGCTATGATAAAAGTACATGCCCCCAAAAACACCTACAAAGGGAACCTGCAACACAAACCAAGTGGCTCCCATCGCGACGGAGTTTTGGGCTGAAAGCCGAGACTCGGGCAAGTCTGTGGCTCCTGACCTCTATACATTTATATCAAATAGGATGGAAGGACACCATGAGGGCCAACAAGACCCGATGGCAGCGAGTTGAGCAACAACCGTAGTAGGGCCTGATTGAGGGGCCCCAGAGAACCACTGCTAAGCCTAAATAATAAACCAATGCGAATCCAAGCTTACTTAATACTCAACCAACACAAATCCAACAATTGCCAGGGATGTCTCCCGTCTAAAATCCTCTTCGGCAAATCCCGATTCGAACGATATTCGGGCCAGCGCCAAAGGGGACCGAAGAGGACCAGACCAGAATCTTCCCAAGGTGCGGAAACCGAACTTGGTCCCTTCGATGAACATATATTTCCCTGTGAACAACTCCTGGCGAGCTACAGTACTGGGTCAGGCCCCTTGTCTTCTGGAACCGACCCAATCGCAAGCACAAAGTGGCTGCTTGCTTGTGCCCTGTTTGCCGCGCATATCAAACAAGCTAGAATGAGCCCATTGGACTTACAAAGGCTACCCGCCTTCTCTCGCCTCTGACCCCAAGTGCTAGTGCCTTGCCCATTCAGATTCAGCTCTCAGGGCTTAGCTCCCAGCCCAATTTGGGATAGTCCCACACCGCCGGCACGTGGAGCCAGCAAGAAATCCGGACTCGCCCGGAAAGGCAATCAAACCTGGAGACCTCCTTACGCCGTTCTCACCCCCGGTAGCAAAGTACCGAACCCCATCGAGACCCATCCGCCTGGTTGGCTGCTGCCCCGGTTGCAGCGGCTGCTGGGGCCTGAGTCCGGCTTCGCAACTTGGCTGCCCCAAAGTGGGCGGAGTACCATGGGGTGACAAGCGCAGGGAGAAAAAAAAGGTGGGGAGGAAAAACCATGCGTGTTATTTGCAAGGTATGTGCAAGCTTGACTGTCAGTACTTTCAGAAATAGCCGCGGCTCTGTGTGGGGGCATGAAGAATTGGCAGGAAGAAATGCAGCAACAAAAACAAAAAAACTGTAAAACAGGCACTCGTAAAAAGACCACACACTTTCTTGACGGTTGAGCGGCGTGAAGTTTTGTAGAGGCTTCATGCATGTTGAACAAAAGTTATAGCTATTTACGGATGTTTACAAGCAGCATGTTTGCCACTTCAGTTCTGAAGTGCTTCCCTCTTGCTCGAGTGGAATGGTTGGTGCGCACGAACACACACGTGCGCGCAAGGGCACTCATGCATCGCATGGTCAATATCTTAAATGATGCTGCTTGCATCCGACACTTGCCCCGCCTTTGGGCACGGCTCAAATCAAAGCATCCAACACAAAGCACCCAACACAATGCCTCCGAACCCTAAACTCCCAGTTCTACCCATGCCGGGCAATCTGCATGACACGTTACTGTCAACCAACACATTGCGAGTCCACAGTCCTTGGTGGCATAGCTGGCTTGATGGCCTCTAACATTTGCAACCTCTCACTACTTCTTTGGAACTCGTCCTGGAGTGCCCCTTGTCACGCCTACAAAGCCTGCATGTAGCTATTGTCTTCACGCAAAGACATGCTGCATTGGCATGCATCATACCCATGTTGGTTCGCACTGCGTCTGGAAGGTGCAACCACCTGGTTGCAAATTGAAAATGACGACGGATCATAATCGAGATTTGACTAGGAAGGTGGTTACACCTAATATTATTGGAAGGTGCAACCACTCGGCCATTCATTGTTAGGGCAACCAATCGGGTTTTGGAACTAACAATCGGCCTCTTCTCAGATACGTTCGCCAGGTTGACATTTCACATGGGGACTTTCAGCACAGGACTCATGGGCCCCCGGGCTGCGAGGCCTTTCCCTCTCCAGTCTTCCTGCGGGACTCTGTGTGTTTGTTGGTCAGATCTGTGAATCCAAAAGGTCGTGTTGGTCACAAACCCCTTTGTGGGGTCGCTGCAACCGCCAGCCAATTCCAAAAGTCAACTGAAAACCTTGAAAGCCTGACACGTTGGTCCTTTCAGAGGATAAGAGTCCAAGCCAGGCTTTTCGGCGAGTCAAGTCAAACCGGCAGGAGACGCTGGCAACACAACCTCTGCTGATGAATTGTGTGACACTGAGTGGGCGGCATGTGTATTAACATTCAGCGCGTCAATCCGGTTGAGATGCGTTTGCTGGAGGCTAAACAGAGGTTCCCTCACTTTAGGGTGTGACAGGAAAGCTGACGTAAACCAGCCATTTGTGAGAGATCTCAATTACAGGCTTGCGAGTTCTGAAAAAACACCCGGGCAAGCATGTGTGTGTGTGTTCTTGAAGGAGTACATGTCACTGGTCAGAGCACGAAGCAACGAGCAAATACACTGATGTATTGTGTGTGTGTATATTTGTATATCTGGAAGTAGTGCATGTGCGTACACACCTGAATATTGTGGAAATATAGTATGTATATGTATGTATAAGTATATATATATATATGTATGTGTGTATGTATGTATGTGTGTATGTGTGTATGTGTGTATGTGTGTATGTGTGTATGTGTGTATGGGTGTATGTCTGTATGTGTGTATGTGTGTGTATGTGTTTGATGTGTGTGTATGTGTGTGTATGTGTGTGTATGTGTGTATGTGTGTATATGTGTGTATGTGTGTATATGTGTGTATGTGTGTATATGTGTGTATGTATGTATGTATGTATGTATGTATGTATGTATGTAGGTAGGTATGTATGTATGTATGTGTGTGTATGTGTGTGTATGTGTGTGTGTATGTGTAAATGTGTGTATGTGTGTATGTGTGTATGTGCGTATGTGCGTATGTGCGTATGTGCGTATGTGCGTATGTGCGTATGTGCATATGTGCGTATGTGGGTATGTGTGTATGTATGTGTGTATGTATGTGTGCATGTATGTATGTATGTATGTATGTATGTATGTATGTATGTATGTAGGTATGTATGTATGTATGTATGTATGTATGTATGTGTGTTTGTATGTGTGTATGTGTGTATGTGTATGTGTGTATGCGTGTATGTGTGTATGTGTGTATGTGTGTATGTGTGTATGTGTTTGTGTGTTTATATGTGTATGTGTGTATGTGTCTATGTGCGTATGTGCGTATGTGCGTATGTGCGTGTGTGTGCGTGTGTGCGTATGTCCGTATGTGCGTATGTGCCTATGTGCGTATGTGCGTATGTGGGTATGTGTGTATGTATGTGTGTGTGTAGGTATGTATGTATGTATGTATGTAGGTATGTATGTATGTATGTATGTATGTATGTATGTATGTATGTATGTATGTGTGTGTATGTATGTATGTATGTATGTATGTATGTATGTATGTATGTATGTATGTATGTATGTATGTATGTATGTATGTATGTATGTATGTATGTATGTATGTATGTATGTATGTATGTATGTATGTATGTATGTATGTATGTATGTATGTATGTATGTATGTATGTATGTATGTATGTATGTATGTATGTATGTATGTATGTATGTATGTATGTATGTATGTATGTATGTATGTATGTATGTATGTATGTATGTATGTATGTATGTATGTATGTATGTATGTATGTATGTATGTATGTATGTATGTATGTATGTATGTATGTACGTATGTATGTATGTATGTATGTGAGTATGTGTGTATGTGCGTATGTGCATGTATGTGCGTATGTGCGTATGTATGTATGTATGTATGTATGTATGTATGTATGTATGTATGTCTGTCTGTATGTATGTATGTATGCATGTATGTATGTATGTATGTATGTATGTATGTGTGTGTGTATGTATGTATGTATGTATGTATGTATGTATGAATGTATGTATGTATGTATGTATGTATGTATGTATGTATGTATGTATGTATGTATGTATGTATGTGTATGTCTATATGCATGTGTATATTGGTATATGTAATATGGCACCTGCCCCCCCGCCCCCCCTCCCCCCACACGGATTGCAACCTGCAAGCCTCACAAAAGAACACTAACCCCTGCACCCTCAAAAGCGTGGAAGAATCGCCTGAGCCCAGCGGCTTACATGATCAGATTCTGTGCCAAGTTGGTCAAACTGTTGCTTCAAACATTTCAGAGACCCGGAATCATCATTATTTCGGACTGGTCCCAGAACTCCGATTCAGCAAGCGCCTTCAAGCTCCGACAGGCCAAGATTGCCCACACTTAGATCCCTGTGTTTCTGCCAGGCACCAAGATTTGCCTAAACGAGTCATGGGCAATCTTGGTTGCTGGTTCTCGGTCCCTTCGAACTGCTTCAAAGCACTTTGAAGCGGTTGGGTTGGGAACTCGCCGAGATTTGCTGAGATTGGTTCTTGTCCCTCGGCCTGGAGCTTTGAAGCGCCTTAAACCTTTTGACTTGATTTGCTGGGAGGGGTGAGCAATCTTGGCTCGTCCGGGACTTGGTGGACTTTCACGAAAAGGCGTAACCACTTGGACCCAAGAAACTTTCACATAGTTCCAAGCGTTAGGGTTGCATATCATTCAATGTTCTTTGAGTGGCCCTTGCAACTCAGCAGCCACATCTCAGAAACATCACACATGTTCAGCGCTATCAAATTTGAACAGGAACATGTTGGCAATATTGCGGGCATTAACTTTGAAGTTGCACCTAATACTCTCTAGAATGTTGACCTAAACTCTGCTCTGCTCGAAAGGTGCCTCTGGCATATTGCAGAGAATTGTCTTCAACCTCAAGACTCTTTCCTCATCATGCACAAAGCGTTTGTTTCGTGATGCGGCAAGTCATTGCTGTGCCAAAGTGTCTAAGTCATCCACTTGTTCAGCAGCAATAGTGTGGCAATGTTGCCAACAGCTGGTGTTCATCGACCTTACCCCTATGTTGAGGGCATGGCTGGGCTCACATCCCAAAATAAAGTTGGGATCACCATGCCAGGGAAGCTGCGCTCCACCCGTGACACTTGCGCTGCGTGACTGACCTTTCACATTTGTCTCAACTCGCTGAGCTACATGGAGCACTGCGTAGCATTGGCACATCTAGCCCTGGTTGCAGGAAGATCTGTGCTCACTGGCTTTCGCAAAGCCGCGCGCACTTCGCGTTTCGGCCAAGTGTCGTCTCCTCCCTGCCCAGAAGCGCCACCGTGACCCCTGTGCTCTTTCTGGGCACCGTGAACGTGCGGGACATCGATACAGCTTCTTGGTCAGCTCATGTTGCACAAAGTCTTTGCCTTAACTGCCATTCTCTCCAAGTCGCGCCTTTGTCAAACAGGAATCTTTGGAAAACTTACAGAAGTGTTCATAGCCAAAACCGATCAGAAGTTCGGGCAAGAATAACAAGGGTTGAAGCCTCCGGAGCCTGTGTTCTGTTCATCACGGCGGACATGGAGCTGAAAATTGAGGTCTGGGGGGGTCCGTGGGCGTTCCCAAACCCTCTCTGAAATGGGGGGGGATCTTTTTTTGAGAGGTCCCCGCCCTTTTTGGGTTGGTTTGTAAAGGAGAACTAAAAGCAAACCAACCAAAAAGCGAATTCGGTCTCCAAATTTTGTTTCGACACCTGGCAGCCTGGCGAGGTGCTTTTTTCCATGCTGGCCTCCTGTCCATCTGGGGCGGCGCCTGGAGCGCATACTGCCGGAGCTCCTCGGCGCCGCAAAAAAACAAATAAGAAAGGAAAAAACATCATTGGAAAGCTGGAGAGGAACCCCGCAAAAGCGCTACCAGGCGACATCCACTACGCGAAATCCTGTCCCAACCATGGATGACCAGGTCTGGGAAAAGGGCCTTTCAACCGGCTGAAAATGCGGCCGAATCCTGCAAAAAATTGCCTCTTTCTAGCCATGTTCCCCACAGGAAATTGGAGATTGGGCCTATGGTAGCCGAAGACCTGAATCACAGTGCATGGCATACGTGGCGGTCCTTTGACGCTTTTTCGGGTCATTATCTGCTTACCTGGTCAAGCTTCGCCAGCCAAACCACACTCCGCGTAATCTGGTCAGAGCCTTCGACATGAGTTCTGTCAGCTAAAACATAACAGGACCATGGGCCGTAAAGAATGCACTTTCTGGTGCCTCTTAGCCGAAACTGATTGGGTGCATCATGTTTGAGGGTATCTGTTGGGGTCGTGTTAAAGGAAAAAAGTGAAACCAACCATTGCTGGATTCCCTCATTTGGAGACGAACCCAGGTTACACGATATGCCAGAACAACACGCAAACTCCAGCAGGGCGCATCGTAGGCGTAGGCGTATCCGAGATGTCTCCCTTCGGCCATGAGAATCATCATCATCCTCATCCTCATCATCATCATCATCATCATCATCATCATCATCATCATCATCATCATCATCATCATCATCATCATCATCATCATCATCATCATTGTCATCGTCATCGTCATCGTCATCGTCATCATCACAACATCATCAGCAGCAGCAGTAGCAGCAGCAGCAGCAGCAGCAGCCGCAACAATAACAGCAGCATCCAACTAGATCCATTAAACGTGTATATATATATATATACATATGTATATAAGTATATATATATATACAGCAAATCATATTTAATCATCGACATCTCTTCCTAGAGCAATGTATTTAACAAGAGAGTTTTGGAAGACTACCATCCAAAGGTCCCCTCGTCCACTTCCCTTGTTGGAAAGAGGGTATTCGCCCCGTTGTATTGCACTCGTGCAAAACCACCTCAATGGAATGCCCCTGTAGAAAGACTACTTTCCTCTTGGAAAGGGCCTTTTTGCACTTCCATGTTAGTTGGTGGGAGGGTATTTGCTTCAAAGATTGTCGCTGACAGCGTCTCTCGCTCCGTCTGTCTCTTTCAGTCTCTAAGCAGCGGGCTGCCTCGGTGGGCTGCATGTGGCCGTCCCACATGCCCTTGCCACGACTCTCATCACGGCAAAAAAACAACAACAGGGATCCGACGAGCCAAACCCCAACCCTAAAGACCTTATTTGGCCAAGGCGGGTATACCCCTCAGCCTGTTTGCTTGAAATCCATAGGGGCCCCTAGGTCGCATGCCCCTGAGAAAGGGATTCTGCACGGAAAAAGCCAAAAGCCCTTGTGCTTGAAGGGGGCAAATGAAACAAGAAATCCCAGTGACTCTCAAACAAGGAAAAGAACGCAAGAAAGCCGCTAGAGCAGCGGGGTCCCAAGACCAGTGACTGTTGGTTCTACCAAAGTGGCTGAAGGATTGAAGAGGATCATTCACCAGAGCCTTAAATACTAATAACAATAATAATAATGATCATCATCACCAGATTCATGAGTTTCATCATCGTCTTCGTTATCATCGTCATTGAGTCATCCTTGTCAACTTCGCATAGTAATCCTTATCGTCGTTGCAATCCATCCCCGATGCAGCAAGTTCCCCAAAGCTGCTTGGGTTGGTTCCCGAGAATGGGAGACATGGAGGCAACACATCTTAAGCCGTGGCCCGCAAAGTTGCCTAAACGCCAGGCTTCGCGCAACCAACAAGTGAGAGGCCGGGATACTCTTTGCCTTGACGCCATTTTCCTTGGGGGCTCAAAAGGGCCATACCCATAGTGGCAGACCAAAAAGGAGCTCCTGATATTCCCTGTTGAAGCAAAAGCAGGGCCATGACTTCTGGAAGCCCATTCCCCAGGTGGAGCTTTCGTCCCGTCCCAGCCCCCCCCCCCCACCTCGTGGATCGCCTCCATGCCAGTGCCGGACCCAGTTGCGGCGCCCTGCAAAGCTTGGATAGATCCGATACGGGGCCATCCCAAAGCTCGTACGAAATGCCTGGAATGTGTCAAGGCGGGATGCCTCTGTGAGCTGATGTCTTTGATGGCAGGCTCAAACAGAGGCCTGAAATTCAGCTAGACCGAGGGCAAGAAAGCCTTCAGGCTGAAGGATTCTCCTGACAAGCCGACAAAAGTCATTGTCCACGTTCATCGCTTGGCACAACGCCCAAGCCATGAGCTGGCCTTCTGAACCAAACCAAAAGCCACAAAGGCAGGTGGCATAGGCAACGTGCCTTCAGAGTGCAAAAGGTTCAAGAGTGGCATCTGCCAAAGTCAGTGCAGGGAAAGGACGTGCTTCGATTTGCTCGGGTTGCACGCCATAGAAATGATGCCGTGCAAGCACTCGTATCAAAAGTGCTCGTGCTAATTGGTCTGAAACTCATCAATGGTACAAGCCGCAAATCGAAGGAGACTGATGTTTAAACCTCAACTCTCAACCGCTGATGTGATCTCTCAAAGCGCAGCATAACACCAGCAGACACATCTTGGCCAAAAAAATAAACTCTGAGGACCGGAAAGTCTTGCCTCGAAAGGGGAGGCAACCGTTCCACTCTCCTCAGGACACACATTCGTCTGCTGGAAAGCATGGCTTAACATTGATGCAAACACGCCACTGCATGGACTAGCCACTCTTCTCTGCTTGAGACCTGATCAAGTTCATGCGTCGGGAAGCAGGCCATTACATTGGATGAGAGTTGCCTTACTCTTCCTTTGCTTCTGGAGCAGTCAAACCACGTCGGGAAAGAAGAGATCCAGTCGCCAGAAAGTGGTATAACACCCTGTGGGATGCCCTTCCCTTTCACGCCGCAGCGTGCCGCGGCAGCCTCTCACGTGCCCAACCGACCCCCAAATGACTGGCCCTGCCTGCACGGGTTGATTTTGAGGCCTGCCGCGGCTTCTCTCTTCCTCTAATCGGTTTCCACATCCGGTGGTCTTTTCTCAGGGCAAAGTGGAGAGAAAGCAGGCAAATCTGCGGCGAACGCTTGACCTGCAGTGGGTGAGATCTGAATATGTGTGAATCCTTGCATAGTGCATGTTCCCTAACATGAAAGGAGGGAGCTGCGAAAAACTCCGTGAGCAGGCGTTAAGTTGATGTGCCGAGAAAATGGTGAAGGCCACCAAGGGAAACAACCAAAAAGCCCTTCTCTGTCCGAGGGAGCTGGATGCCTTTTCAGGCTTGGTTTGATTGCGATCCGTGAAATGAAGCATTGTTTCAACAGGGACCAAAAGGATGACGGGATAGAAACAACTTAGTATGAGACTGCAATCTCATGTACAGCAACGGCCAAAAATGAAAATGTTGGGCCCTGGGAGAATTATAGGAACAGCTCTACTAGTGTATATCATTTTAGAGAACAGCTACTATAGGGCTGTTCTAGGAACTTGCTGCAAAAGGGAGAACCAAGGTGCGCTCTGGATTGTTCATATTAGCAGTCATAACGAGACATCCGCAGCCAAATGCATTTAGGCAACCAGGCACTTGCACCCTCCGAGGCCTGTCAAATGGAACTTTGAGTGTCATTGGGCTTTCAGGGGACATTTGACAGCCCTAGCAGTCAACTGCCAGTGGGGAAAGTGCTAAGAAGTCTTTGGTTGCAGGCTTGATCAAGCGAGCTAATTTCAGCCAGGTTTTCCGCATACAAATGCCCTACCACCTCGGCTGCCAATGAGCGTATCTCTTGCTCTTAAGGTCCAATCCTCATAGTTGGTGTGGTCTGAGACAAACGTAAGTGTTATGTTCTGCGTCGAATTGCATTGTGTTCTGCTTGCTTGTATTCAACTGCATTGCTCTGCGTGGCGTCGTGCTGTGTTGCAGTGTATTGTGTGATACTTTACTGTATTGTATTGTGGTGTGGTGTATCTTTGTGCTTGTATCCGTGCCCGTGTATGCATTGGATGGTTGCATTGCATATCATATCGTTTACTTGTATACTGAATATTGCACAATGGATATCAAATGTTGGACGGTGTATGCTGTGTTCTGCCTCTTCCATCTTGTGTAGTGTAACTTGTGCGTTGTACATCGCTGTGCATGGTATGTGGTACTGCGCTGCATGTGTATTGTATATGTGATCCGTGTGTGTCGGAGTTGTGCAGTATCTGTGTTTGCCTCTATATGTGTAGTGCATTGCAATTGAATTGCATTGCACTGCATCGTGCATTGCTTTGACTTGTATGCCACAGTTCTGTACCGCAATGAATTGAGATGCACTGTCAGCCGCTGTGAATAAGACACATACACATGTATGTTTTTGCAGGGCGATGCTTGTTTTCGCACGTGCCCAAGCAGGCTGTCCCGTGCTGAGCGCTCCGGCTGCTTCCAGCTCTAAATACTAGAACTCTAAAGCCCCAAACCGTGAAACCCCTCCATCAAGCCTCTAGCACCTAAGCTTAATTCCTAGCAGCAGAAGCACGAAATGCGGGGAACCGCCGTTCAGGAAGCACCCCCAAACCTGCTTCTATGTCCACTCAAAATTATGCGAGATCCAAAGAAAGCTAGCTGGCGTATTAAAAAAAAGAGGCTAAATCATTCCGAGAAGTCAGAACTCCTCGTAGGCCGGCATGTCGTGTGCCATGCCATACCATGCTGTCACTTTGCAGGCACAAACGAGCAAAGAAAGCACACTATGCCTCCTTCCATGAAGCGACTAAGCCTGGCATCCAGAGAAAAATCCCCCGCCCCTCCAATCGATAGACAAATCCAAGACAAAATGCCCGCACCCCCCCCCCCGCTCCCCCCCCGGCGCCAACGCCAACTCGAGCGACCCGGGAGCGCCTCTCTATGGGAGGCGGCTCGATCCGGCCCTCCAGCAGCTTGTGGAGCAGCTGACGGTCAGGTTTGCTCGGCTCACTCCGAGGAGCACCGGAGCGATTTTGTGCGATGTTTGTGCGATGTTTGATGGTTTTAGGTGGTTTTGGGTGGTTTTGGGTGTATTGGTGGTGTGGGTGGTTGAGCTCCTCACTCCAAGCAAGGAACACTGGCGCGACTCTTTTTGGTGGTCAGGTGGTGGACTCAATTCCCAGCCGAAGCAAAAAGGGAGTCCAGAAGATCGGGGACTCTTTGTGGATATAGTGAGTGCAGGGAAACCACAAGGAAGCCGCAAATGCTTGGCGTTTCCCAGTTTCAGAAAACACCCAGATCTGGCCAAAACGGGGGTACAACAGCAAATATAGGCCTGAAAGGGAGGCAGTAAATCCTGCCGGCAAACCAAACACCGCCGGTGAGTGTCCAAAGCGATACCAACTGGAATGACAGTCTCCAAAGACTCAGTGTGGGAAGTTTAGGGGTGTCAACTGGCCTTAAGTTGGGGGGGCGCACCCTGAAAGTCGGTGTCACAGTCGTTGTCACTTGTTCGGGCCCCAGCTTCCACCATTCTTCACTTTGAACCACAAATCCACACTCAGCGACATCATTCCCCCTCCCCTTTGTGTGTGTGGTCCAGACGTCAAGAGTCGCTCCAAGTACCCCGCAGCTCCGGCTGACTTGCGCCAAAGACCCCCGGAATCGGCCCACCGAATCCTCCGTCAATCAGTCAATCAAGCTCCGTGGCTCCGGCTCCCCGGCCTTTGGTGGGCCTGGCTCCAGATTCAGAGAGTTGATGCCTCAGGAAGCAAAGCCACGGGGAGGGGCTGCCGCAAAAACCAGTCGCATGGGGCGGAGTGTTCCCAAAGCAGAAAATGCCTAGCATGTGGCAAAAGTGGTGCTATGGGCAGACATGGAGTTCAGGGCTTTGATGCATGGCAAAAGCTTCCAAAACTGAATGCGAGCGAAAGCATCAGGGCCTCGCAGGACTCCCACTTAACTCACAACAACGAATTTTGGTGCTCCGGTTGCAAGTGCTTGCGCCCCCTCCCCCACACTGAAGAGCTGGCTTTTGAAGGGATCACGCTCGTTCGCGACACCTGGCAAGTGAGAAAAGGCAAGGGCAGGTTCGCGTGGCTATGGGATGGCGGATGGCGGCCCTCTTGCTCTGGGCTTGGGGAAGTGAAGGGACATGATCTGAGCAAGCGCTTGCAACAGCGCGTCGGGCCCCCAGCCCTCATTGACTGGGCATTGTCCATGAGGGCTGAGAACAAGATCATGCTTAACAAGCCTAACAGACATGCCTCGACCTAGAGGACCATCCCCAATCAAACGAGGTGATTAGGGCCATCTGCTTCTTCCTAACACTTCCAGAACTGATAAGACGGTCTCCCTTTTCTGGTCTCTTTGTCGCTAAGCAATATGACTGGACATTCATCAGTGGGGCCCCAGTCATCATAGCCCCTGCAATTCACAAGGGATGTGTTGATTCATTTCGGGAGCTGGTCAAGGGATGTAGCTTTTGCTCAGAGGGAATCTAGCCAGGCACCCTGCTGTTAGCTTGACGCATAGCTAAGCCCTTTACTAGACCGCGAAGCTGATTCGTCTCAGCTAACCCTCACTCCGTCTGGACCTTCCTGGCCTCCAACACTGACACAACGGACCAACTGCGCCAGGTGGCTGGCACGCAGCGCTGCAGCTGCTTTTTTTTTGGCGCGGAGGTAGCTTTGTGGTTGGCGGTCCGAACAAATTGAGCTTGGCGCGTGAGCTTAAATGCTGGCATCGGAGAAGACAAATGCGCATGACAGAAAAGCAACGCGAAAAGCGCTGGGACGAGGAGCGGCCCAATCAACAGCAAGTGAAGGCAAGTTGCACAACGCTTGCCCTTACAGCGATTGCTGCCAGTGTTTATGCTTTGGAGGCGCTTGGCCAGGTGTCCAGAAGGGGGGCACGCTTGAGTGTGGGCTCAGCTGTTGTGCCTTTGTCGCAGGCACTTTCTGTCTTTGCTGGTTGGATATGCAGGCTGGGCTATCGATGATTCGAATGCCACCTGCCAGGATAGGCTGCGAATTCGCTCTGGCGACCGAAGGACCAAGCCGTGCGACCGGCCGACCAGACTGGGCAACTGGGCAACCGAGAGACCGGGGAGAACTCGGCCCTGGCCAAACCCCCAAAACAACTCGATCTCATGAAGCTGCGTCACGGCATCCAGCCTGTGACAACACCAACAGGCACCTCAGCGAGAGCTCGCAACGACCCACACTGGGCACCATGTCCCTCGAATGCCTCGAATGCCTAGGCCAAGAACGATGTGCGCCGAAGGCAGCTTCCTTTGCAAGCTGGTTCTGGGCCTTCAGACTGCATCTTTCTTCAATTTCAAGCTCAGACCGTGGGAAGAGCATCCTCAGGAACACTGCTTGAATCTCAAGGGCAAGCACTCATTGGTTCCTACACTGGTATCTGTTTCAGTTGCAAAGGCGAGTTGCAAGCACCCGGTCATCAGGCTTGAAGCTAGTGAAACACGGCCCAAACCTATCGGGTTCCACATCACTTGACCGCAAATCCCTCTAGGTCAGTCGGTTTGCTGAAAAGACAAGGCTAACTTGTGAAAGGCCCTGGTTCTGGACACTGCTTGCGGCTTCTGGACCCTGTTTTGTCAGGCTGCACATCCAAGGAGATACTCGACCAGAAATTGCCGCCAAACAAATCGGCTCCCGAAATGCGCGGTTGATTGTTCCGTGTCTTGAAGGAGAGGGATGGGTCCCCTCTGAACAAAAGAGAGGGGCGCCTGGGGCCCAGAAACACCTGGGCTGCCAGCTGGTCCCACCATGACTTCCTGGACACCGACGAGGTTCACGAGTCAAGTGGCAGGCTATGGTTGTCACATTACTCTGATCCATGGGAATGGCCGGGATGAACCTCCGAGGATCCATGCTGGGATGGCGGCTCTTTTCGGAGAACCGAGTTGGGAGCCTCTAAGAACCCCGTCCAGCCCGAGCCCTCGGTGGCCTTTCCTATTTCCCTTTGCTGTGTCTGAATCGGACATAGATGGCTTTCGCCCGAGCTGTCGGGGTCCAGCTCGAGTCGCAATGGCTCGCATCACAGAAGAGATTCCTCGGGAAGTTTGGCGATTTCGCCCGACGGCACAAGTTCGGACACCTCGCCCAATTTGAGAATGCCGAAAACACCAAAAACCTTTCTCCCGAAAACTCTGGTACCCCAGACCCTGATGAAACTAGCTGTCAACCCAGCCTCCTCGCGTCCTCTTCTTTGAGACCCTTGCAGCGGCTGAATCCTCGGTCACCAAAACACGCGTCTACAAGCAGGCCTGGTACCAAGTGTGAACTCCTAGTCAACCTTTGTTTTGAGGAGCATATCTGTGGGAAATGGAGGGAGTTCTCGGACTAAGGAATTGAACTGGCCAGCGCCTTCAACCAATGAGGGCCTCCGCAAATGATCACGCCTTGATCAACACAGAAATTGAGGAGCTGTGCTCAAATTGTTTGCCTGACCAACAATTTAGTTGCCACAATCACAACCTGGGTGTGGCTCAAAATCAAACAGGAGGACGCAGGTGTTGGTCCATTTCCACTTACCAGGGTCCCATTTTGGTACCGGTTTTTTGAGCCACAATCACAACCTGATGCCGGTGCGATCTCCCCCCTTTGCGTACTTGGGACTTCCCACAAGGCTGCATGCAAGCTGCCAAAAAAAAGACAATGCCGGCCTTCCGGGCTGCAGCCTGTGAAGAAATAGAGTTGGCAAACACGGGATGCGTTGATTGCTGTTGGCAGTGATGAGATGTGTTGCACTTTTCAGCTGATGTGGAGGATCCCTTGTAAAGGAGGTGGTTGCGGGCTAAACAATGAACTCGCAAGCTGTTCGGAGTCTTGAACGGTCGGGGCGTCCAAGCTCCAGACATGTCTAAAGGCCTGCCTGCGGTGCTCAGCCGCGAGCCAACTTCAACCCGTGAGGAACGTACCAAAGAAGGTTCCTAAAAGTGGGGATTAACCAATCACAGGGGTTCCCCTCAACAACGACATTGGGAACAACCAATGATTCGCAATGAGACAGTTCACAACAAAACGCAATCCGACCATGTGCTGTTGAAGCCGTGGAAGGCCCACACACACATGACATACGAGCGGCAGTCAACATGTACCCGCACGGTACTGGGCATGGGACTTCTGGATTGTCTGGTAATCCTTTCATTGGCTTACTACATGTCCCGAACCCCAAACTGATCAAAAACGACTGGAAACTCGGACAACGAAACTCAGATGCTTCCTGCAATATCAAGATTGGTTTCATCTCGTAGTTGGGCGGGCGGGTTGGAATTTAGGAGGGGGGCAAACCCATTTAGGAAGAATATAACCCTGGAACTTGCAGTGGGTTGCCCCAGGCAACTTGCTCCCTGGCTCCCTGGTAGCGTCAAACAGGGGAACCCCAACACTACAGCTGCGATTGCTAGTGTCAGGCTCACTGGTTGCGCAGAACCCAAGTTTTCGGAACATGAGAGAGCATGTTCATGGAACGTCAGCTTGCGCCCGCTCAGCTTGCATGCAATCTCTGCGGCACAAGTTCTGCACTTCAGAGCAAGAGCATGCGGGGTTAGATTAAAAAGTGGAAAATGTGTGTTTGCGTGAACAACACCAAACAAACTACAACAGTCCTAAAGGACATGCAACTTCTTGTTTTAGGACACAATTGGGACCCTTGTCAAGGAGTTGTGTTTCGGGTCACTACGTCACATGTTGGGTTCAAATAGGGCTGGAGATGATCATTCATCTTACCATTGGGGCCACAATTCAACCAAGATCTAGAGGAACAAGCAGGCCATACAGTAATTCAGGTCACATGCCGATTTTTTGCCCGCAAACAAGTGGCCGCGAAAAGTAAACGTGACAAAAATGAACCGCAAACGAAACCGCGAAAGTCCAAGCAACCACAAAGAGCGGGGCAGCTACTTCATCCAGTGCAGACGTTCAACATCTGTGCGGTGTCGCATGGCCAGCGCTAGCCACACATTCTGGCCCGGAGAAGTGCATTTTGCTGCCATTGACAAAGCTGGGCAACCAGTACGCGCTTCCTGGGTGAATATCTAGCTCCCACCAGCGGAAACAATCATGTGAGCTCCAACAAGCACAAATAACCAACACCCAAAAGGAACAAAGCTCCCTGGCTTCAGAAAAAAACCATTCCGGTCCCCCAAACCGGCCGAGTGCTACGACCCCCCCGCCTTTCGCGGCGTTGGGGCGCCTACCATCGTCCGAATTCCTGAGACGAGCACTGGGGCAGATCCGACCAAAGGCCAAGCAAGGCCCTACCACTGGCGCTCGAGCTGCTTTGCACTGTCAATATCCCCTACCCGGTCCACTACCCTGCCACTGGATCTTGGATTTGTTTGCCCACGGCCACCAACCCCGCGGCCCCCAGAGCTTTAGACAAGCAGAAGCAGAAGCAGAATCATGCATCACTTGAGCTCAGACCAGATTTGACCTTCAAAAATATAATAGACCCTCCAGATTTGGGAGGGCCATGTTGGTTGTTTGCTGTGTACCGCAAGAACGAAAAGCTGATGCTGAGCCATTCCCAGTTCGACCCAAGCCCTAGCTGCGAGCCCGGCGCGTCTGGCACCTGGCGATGGACACTGCGATGGCGACTCATGGATTCACAAAGACACAAGGAACCTCGTCTGAATGAAATAACCTGACACGCGCATGTGCACGATGCGAGTGACCTGTTGTAAGGCTCCTTTGAGCCACCGTTCACGCAACCCGTCCAATGGCACGCGTTGAAGTCCTCAAGACTGATGTCAACTCTCATCAGCTTGCGTGTATATGTTGGCCTACAAACAGCGAGTTCCACCATGTCATCTGTTGCAGCTGGTTTCAAAAAGAATCACACAATCACTTGTGCGAGACTCTCACCAGCCGTTGCACCTGGTGAATCAACTAAGATTCGCCACGCATGTCATTGCGTCGGGATCATTTTGGGCCTGCCAGCCCGCGCACCCAGCTCGAAACTACGACAGTGGCTCATTTGGTGCGCCTAGAGTTCTCTCACTGTTGGTCTGTCAAGCATTCTCTTTTCCTTTGAACCTCCAAGAACAGGCCAGCTGTCGCATCCGCATGTCAAGGCCGTTGCCAGGAAGGACATTTGAAGTCCAAAACTCACGTCGATGCCAATATGGGGGGGGGTCCTTTTTCGAAGTGTACCTTCTTGCTGCGCTGGTTTAGAGAGAAACCAAAGTGACTCCCAGGAGACAAGAAGTGAAGCCAAGCCCGCGTTGTTCCCCGCGCCTCATCAAGGCCTCACATGAGGGGGCTTGAAAAGGAAGACAGCAAGTCGTGTCCGAAACAATGCAAAAACTACCATATTAGCAGCGATCAAAGTACATGTATGTACGTATCTATGCATCTGTGCATATGCATGTGTATATATATATATGTATACATGTGTATACATATATATATATATACATAATATATATATATGTATGTACAAACATACACGTAAAGAGAGGGGGATATGAAAAAACTGCAAAAGTCAGTCATCAATATCGTTTGTATCATCATGCACGTCATTGAACGCAAACAGCTCAAGTTCAAGCCCTTGTCCTGAAGTGCTTCTCAACGGCTCGTTCTCCGGATGCAGCTGGGGGCGTTTTTGTTTCCGCATCCCATGCCTCTCTCTAACTCACAGAATTGTTGCGTCTGCAAAAACCCTGCTGGAAGTTGTTGCGCCCTGGAAGTACTTGCTTCCTCCGTCTTGAAAGCCCGTTCCGCGCCAACAAAAGCAAGGACGAACCGATCCACTGAAGTATCGCTTGAAGCATGACTGCGTCTCAAGCCGGCTTGCATTCATGCGTCGCCTATGCTTGGATCGTTGGACAATGTTGGGTGATTTTTGTTGGTCCAAGGGTCCAATGCCGGCTCGAGCGCATGTTGTCACGGAAAGGCATCCGTGATTGGCCATGTTTTGCCTGTCAGGCTGCCATGCTTGGATATGTTCCTTGGTGGCCGAGTCAACAACCATTCTTCCAGTGATGCAGCCATCCTCAGCCCCAACAATCAACATAGTGACATTCAACACCTTGGTAATCCCAGCAGTACTTGGCCCTACAAACCAGGTCAACCTCAAAAAAGCAGTCCAACTTGTCTACACTCAAAATCCGACAGCCAACTACCAACACCAAACAAACACTCCCCTCCCCACTCCTCCCGCTCCCCCCTCTCTGGTCCATCCGCCAAGGAGCGGAAGTGCTGCCGCAGCAGGATCTGCCGCGTCGCGGCGGTCCTCACGAATCGGACCGGAGAAACGGACGGACCACTCTACAGGGTCCCATGGTTCGCGGAGAAAAGTCCAGGCGCCCGTTTCTTGTATTTTCCGTTACATGCAAGCCTCTTGCATCACCCAGGGTTGATGACTCTTCAAAAGCAGACCGGGGGAATTGCAACAACAACGGCCAGGGAAAAGACCATGGAGAAAGAGAGGCAAACAAGAGGCCCCTACTCAAGTCCTGCGTGGGACCTTTCTGAAGGAAAGAGTCGAAACAACGGAACAAAAACCAAACAAGCACGAGTAAGAGAGGATTTTCTTACATCAGGCTGGGGATGTTTGCATTCTTTCCTGTGGAAGGGGTCTTCCCAGGGCTTGAGTAGGGACCTTGGTTTGCCTTTGCTTGTTCATGTTGGTTTCCCTAGCTGTGGACGCGGGTAGT